GGAAGTACATTGAGTCTAATTCCTTCCTCTAACCATTCCATTTTTTTTTTTTTTTTTTTTAAGGAAAAGAAGGGGAGAGGAGGGAAAAGGAGAGGAGGGAGGGGAAGGAAGAAAAAATTCTCTTTAGACAGCAAATCTATTATGCAGCTTTAAATATAAATATATATCTAAATGGGTCACAAGAGTGTTAAATGTATGAGTGGTTGTCATTCTACATTAATAATTTTACTGGTACTCATCATTACAGCCTTCTCAGCACCTATCATTACTAAAGGGTGAATAACTGATTCATTTTTTTTTTTAAGTTAACAAGATTTTAATCACATGGCACACCATTACTAAAAAATGTATAATCAAATATATTTTCTCCACAATAGGTTATTAAAAGTTTCATGTTTAGTTCAAAGTAAATTTTCATAAGCTATGCTCAAAAACTTTAATGAATTATACCGTATAAAAATTCAGCAAATTATTAAGCCTTGGTATTTTGACAAAATTTAACTATTTTAAAAAATTTTAATGAGTAAATTGAAAATGAAAAGCTGAAATAAATATTACATTGACTCTGCATCATCTTCTCTTTTTTTTTTTGGTACTAGGGATTGAACCCAGGGCATATTTACTACTGAGCTTTACCCCATGTCCTTTTTATTTTTTAATTTGAGATAGAGTCTTGATTAAGTCACCCAGGCTGTCCTCAAACTTGGAATCCTCCTACCTCAGCCTCCCAAGTAGTTGGGCCTATGCCACCATGCCTGGCTTGATTCTACATCATCTTTAAGGTCAACATAACTCACTATCAACAATATTGTGCCATAAATCATGAATCAGAAAAACAAAATTCTGGGTTTACACTCATTTTTTTCTCCTTCTTACTGAACTTTAAATTTTTTTTATTCTTCCACTTCTAGTATATGTTCAGAAGTATTCTAAACAAAGGCATTTTGAGAGTTCAAAAGTAATAATGGCTTCAGCAAACACCAGTTAAACAATATAGAGAAGAATCTGATTACTGCTTCAATGCTAATTTTAGAAGTTGTACACATACATAATGTTTTTCTTTCTTTTCAAATCACCAAGACCTTCATTCTTCAAGGCCTAAAATATATCTGTTAGATCTCTCCTTTTTGATTCATCTAAACATCTGAAAATCGATTATAGGGCATTTGTCACAAGTAATCAAGTATTAAAATAAGTAAACAGAGAATTTCTAACACATTTTACATTTTTCTAACGCCATTATAATAACAAATGGTAGTAGTTCATATTTTATTCAGTGCTGGCTCTGGTCCAAGCAGTCACAATGACCCTGATACAAACTACTATCATGCTCAGTTTACAAATGAAGAAACTAGGGTTTAGGAAAAAATAAGTAACTTGCCCAAAGTCACAGAACGGGTAAATTACAGAGCTACGACTCATATGGAAGGCTGACAGCAACCATGCTGTTCACCCTTCCATAGGAGAAGACGGCCCATTGTTTGCTACTCTATTTTATAACATAGCTTCCCTGAACATACCAGTGAAAAACACTGAAACTGTGTACACTCATTCACTTACTAATTTATCAACAATATTTATAAACTCCTCAAAGCATTCATTTGACCTAAAATACTTTTTAAGTGTTTCTTAGCACCTGGTGTATACAATGTACAGAATGTGTTCCCCCAAAATTCGTTTGTTGAAATCCTAACCATCAATGTGATGTCAGCAGGAAGTAGGGCCTTCAATTCAATCAGGTCACAAGGATTTAGTTCTCAAGAATGGGATAACTGGCCTTATAAAAGGGACTCTCAAGAGCTTGCATACCCTCTTTCTACCATGTGAATATACATGTGAAGACAATGATCTGAAATCTGGAAGTGGGCTCTTACCAGAAACTGGTCATGATAGCATCCTAACCTTGGACTCCCAGTCTCCAGAACTATGACAAATTTCTGTTGTTTATAAGCCACTCGGTCTATGATACCTTGCTATAGCATCCTGAACTAAGACAAAAATCAGTACCAAGAAGTGGAGTTGATGCTGTAACAAATACTAAAAGGTTATCTTAGTTTATTATTACACATAACCAAGCAAATTAATACAATAAAATAATGATAATAATAATAAAATATAATTGTTCAAGCTACTTTTAGTTGGGCTATTTATTACAAGGCATCCTAAATGATACAAATGCTCATCAAAATTGCATTTAAAAAGAAAATGAGTAGGGACAATCTAGAATAATCAATTGTAAAAAAAAAAAAAGATACAAAACAAAGTATGTTTTCAATTTAAAAAGCCAGTTTCATAATTATAGAATGATGTAAATCTGGTTTAACAGTTGTTCAAATAACAAAGATTTTCACAAGATCTAGGTGCTTTACTAGTGAATTCAAAGTAACCCACCACTATGACACAGCTGAGAAAGATATACAGCCTTTTCAGGGAATATTCTTAGAACCAGAGGCTCAAGATTATGGTGGCAAAGTCTTATATAGCACAGCACTGATCATCACATTTCTGGAATAAATTAAGTAGGCTACATTAAAAGAGACATAGAAAAACAGGAGAGTACCAAAGGAGGGTTTCCAGGAGTGTGAAAGATGTAGAGACCATGTAATAGGAGGACAGTCTAAAGAAATGACAAATGCACAGTTTGGAAGAGAGAAGACTAAAAAGGGCATGATGGCTATTTTCAAGGGTTCTCCTAGAAAAGAGGGAGTGGACTTAGTCTCACTATTTCAGAAAAAGGCATGGGAAGCAATGCTGGGTGCTATTGGAGCTTTATTCAGGCATAGAAAAAGCACTTTTCCAACCATTCGGATAACTTAAAAGTCAAATAAGTTACCTCCTAAATATAGTGAAATTCATTTTCACTGAAATGAGTAAAAAAAAAATGACCATCCATTAGGGACATTCTAGAACATATTTCCCAGGAAATATATACACACCACTGATTGTATAAAAAATGTTTTTTAACTGATATATACATTTTATTCATTTATATTATATATTCATTTTATTAATTTATTTTAGCATACATTAAAAACATACTATAATGCTTTATATTTACTCTGTGTAAATGCACATGCTAAATTAGTTAACAATCCTATAACTTCACAAATATTACTATTTTAGAATAAATGAAGTAACAATTTGAAGTTGATTTAAAGAAAAAAATCAAATAAACATGACCCATTTTATGTAATTAGATATATTATTTTATGATCTATCTTGTTTATTTAGAGAAGCAATAAAAGTCAACAAAAAAATAAACAAAAAAACTCCTGAGGGAAAAAACATTATTTATACTACAAATGGTATAAGAAGATGGTAAAACTCATGAAGGCACAAAATATGTTTGAATTTTGGAAATGTTTTACTATGGGAATTCTTTCACTGAATACCCTGAAACAAAATTCTTCCTTTAACAGTTGTCTTAATACTCTGTGATTCTCTAAAAACATGGTAATTTACAACTATATTTATTCAAACAACCTTCATGATATAACAAAGTAACTAAAAATTTTCACTGTTTTCAGTACTAATATTAGAAATATTAATTTTCTACACAATATTTCAAACTGAAATCAATATCTCAATGGACTCAAAACTTACATTCTGTTTTCTAAAACAGAATAGGCAATTCATAAATGTAAAAATGAAATGCACATTGTATTTAAAGTGCATAATTAAGAAAACTCATTGGTGTAGTGTTTTTCTTATATACTAATAATTAAGGCCCTACTACTGGTACTGTTGGTTTTCTATTTTAACACAGAAGAAGTGAAAGTATTTCCTATATTTATAAATTTACAAAAATACTGGCAATAAAAAAAGAAAAAATTATCTAAAATCCATGAGTGAAAATTGTTCATCAATTATTTTTTTACTTCCCACCCCAAGTTGGGCACCAACTGTGTGCCCTAAGTTGCTTAAGGGGATTTCACTATTATATAAAAATCAATAAAATAAAAATGGAGTAGTTGAAAATACGAAACATTGTACAGAGGAGAGATATTGAATAGCACCTGTCTTCCTTCACTTTTTTTGGTCCCCTAATAACTAGTCTACTTTTTAAAATTTCATACTTCACCACTCTTAGAATTAATAATTCCAATTTTCACTTTAGTGTTATTGGAAAACCAAATCTAATAAATGTTTTAATTATTCCCATGACACAATGAAAAATTTTAAAATGTTAATTTTTCAATAGCCACAACTATAAAAATCATATTTGTAAAGCTCATATAACCAATTTTTTCTCACAAATACTAATAAAAATTGATATATGGAACCCTCCCATAACCAATCTTTTCTCTAATAGTCTTACATCCAACAAGAATTTATTGATGGCCTACTATGGAACAGGCACTGCAGTTGATACAAATCTGAAAGTAAATTTGCAAGTTATCACCTGAAGGATCTGTTGCCACCTAAATTTTTTAAACATTAAAAGAGAATGTCTTTACCATCCTGTTCCTTAAAAATATATATGTATTTTAGTATGACTAAAGCCCCAACTATTGCCTACGCTACACATGCATACACAGAAAATCTAGACACACAAACCAGATAGGATTTACATTTAAATTTTCTTTAGTACATTCTGTCTCATATTCAGTATTTGGTGCTGTCTCGAATATATTCTGAAAATCCTCAGGAATTTTAATGAAGCCTAAAGATAATCTTGTGATGATTTTGTGAAAAGTCCGCCTACCCCTGTCTTAAGGCACTGCATGGAAAGCATATTCTTCATGGCATAAAGTATGGGGCTCTCTGGGGGAAATGACGCTACCCACAGTATACTACTGGAGGCATTTTTACGGCCTAATGAGAAGCCTGACCTTTTCTTCTCTTTCCAGATCCTTAGGCCAACTTTATATTTGAATAATCAGATAATAAGTGACATCTAACATGTATAAGAAACGTTAAACTTGTCCCCTGAAAGCATTTCCCCAGATTTCAAAGTCTAAGAAAGAAAAACAATCAGCATAAAGAGATTCTCTTCCTACCTCTTGAGTGTGTTCTTTATAGACTTGTAGTGGCCCTGTGGCTTTGGCAGTGTCCCAGAGCTGCAGCGAGCCATCACCACTACAGGTGACAAGGACATGTTCATTGTTCTCACTCCAAGTCACGTCAAACAAGCCATCGTTCCAGTCAAAGCTATACCAGGATGATTAAACAAAATCAAACAAAAATTTACACAGGAAGCTGAACAAAAATAGTAATTTAAAAATTATGAGTATTTTTCCTTAATTTATCTTTGTGTGTGTGTGTGTGTGTGTGTGTGTGTGTGTGATGGTAGTACTGGGCCTGGTGCATATTTAGGAAAGCATTCTACCAGTAAGCTACATCACCAGCACCAGTTTATCACATATTTTAACATACATTGTCTCTTATGATCTTCACAATATGGGAGAAGATAAGTTAAGCAGGTACTTGACAGAGGAAACAAGTTCAGAAAGGCTAGAAGAATACCCCAGGTCATATACGTAGAAACGGAAAAGCTGGATTAAAATTAGGTCTCCTGACTACTAATATGGAACTATTTACACAGGAGTATTCTACCATACATGGGTTCTAATTTTTGTGACTCATAGGATGGCCCAGCAAGCATATCAAAGTATGAATGTAGAGTAATAGTTTTAACTTTTCCCATAAATCTTTCACCTAAGTCAGGCATGGTAGCTCATGCCTATAATCCCAGTAAGGCAAAGCAGGAGGACTGCAAATTCAAGGCCAGCCTCAGCAACTTAGCAAGGTACTAACCTTAAGCAATTTAGTGAGAACCTGGATATATATATGGGGGGGGGGGGGCATGAGCAAGCTGGGGATGTAACTCAGGAGTAAAGCATCCCTGGTTTCAATCCCCAGTACAAAAAAAAAAAAAAAAAAAAATCCCCCTAAGCAGGAAACAGTTATTTTCTGAGAGAATTTCCCTTTTTTCCCTCCCCCTTTGACTAACCCTAATGGAAGTATTAGTGAGCCCAAAAGTCCAAGAGGCAAGACAGGCATAGAAGGAAAAGAAGAAAGACACAGGATAATCCACAAGGTGGGTAATTTGCTCCTGCATTAGGAAAGTTACACTATATTAAGATAGGAAAGACAAGCAATGCCATACCTTATACTAATTATTTCACTTTTTTAAGTTTAAATTTTATAATTTATAAATGGATACTAAAGAATAAGTTTTAGAAGTAATGTGGCATAGTTATAACTTAATGGCAAAAACAATTTCTATACTATGCAAATGCTAAAGTTCCTTTTGTAATGCAAATTAAAACATATCTCCTTGGTCAAATAGATTCAAATCCTAATTCTACTAAGACTTTAATAAAACAGAGAATACATGTTTAATAATTAAATCCATCTTACCTTCTAAAAATTCTAAGACCAGATTCACTGTGATCCAATATCAGTAGGGTTCCACAGCCTAAAGATAAAAATGTCAAGGTCACACTGCCAGGTAAACATCTAGATCAAGGAAGTATCAAATACTAGGTACCTGATTTTACTACCACAGATTTCTTCCTGAAGTTATTAGGACCATGTATACGAAAAGATTAGAATTGTGCTATTAGTTTTTCATATTGTGCTTCAATCATTAAATATTCAAATTACCATCTCACCTGTGATTAAAATCCAGACACAGCACTAATAAAGAGGTCAGAGGTTTGAATGCCTACTCTGATAAGGCAAGGTGCTAGGCACACAAAACTTCCAAGCAGGTGTTATCATCCCTATTGACAGATGAGAAACCTCAGGCTTACAGACCCCTCATGACTATGATCCTTGTACTAAATCATCCTGCCTTGCCAATATAAAATACATCCAACATGGGATTCTAAGACAAAATATGAATGTGGAAACATCAAATATTTGGTGAAAAAGTTATAATATTAATAATATCAGTTGTTTACCAGCAATGAATTATTTTACTAAAGAACTAATATATTTTTTTTCTTTTGGGCACTGGTGATTGAATCCAGGGGTGTTCTGTTACTAAGCTACATCCCAAGCCCTTTTTCATTATTATTTTAAAATTTTGAGACAGGATCTGCTTAGTTGCCCAAGTTGGCCTCCAACTTACAATCCTTCTGCCTCAGCCTCTCCAGTAACTGGGATTTCAGTCATATGCCACTGTGTAAAACAAGAACATATTTTAAAAAGCTATATATGGGCTGGGGTTGTGGCTCAGCGGTAGAGCACTCGCCTTGCATGTGCGAGACCCTGGGTTCGATCTTCAGCACAACAACAACAAAATGAATAAAATAAGGGTATTGTATCCAAGTACAACTAAAAAATAAATGTTTAATTTAAAAAATTATATTTATCTTTACAGAAATCAAGGCAGAAAGAAAACTCTTCATTTTAAACATGGTTGATTAAAAAACAAAAATACCAAGTCCTTTTAAAGAAGTTTTTGGAAAAGATTTAAAGCAATATTTCAGATTTTTTAATCTCGAACCTAACTGGTGGGCAAGGACTGCAAACATGACATGCCCGACTAAGAGCTAATGATAAAAATATATATAAGGAGGGGCTGGGGATGTGGGTCAGTGGTAGAGTGCTTGCCTACTCTGCACAAGACCCTGGATTCAATCCCCAGCACTGTGTGTGTGTATATATATATATATACACACACACACACACACACACACACACACACACACACACACACATATTTGTGCGGTCCTGGGGAGGTGTGTGTCTGTGTGTCAGGCAGCACTGGAGACAGTGCGGTCCTGGGGGAGGGGTGTGTGTGTGTGTGTGAGACAGAGACAGAGAGAGAGAGAGCGAGCGAGCGAGCACTGGAGACAGTGCGGTCCTGGGGAACTTGGGCTTGGCTACTATGCCACTTCCACACTGGAACTGGCAAAGGTGACCACCGCCAGACCAGCTCCCCACGCTTTGCAAGCGCGGAGCCGGCCGGCTGCTCTGCTTCCCTCTGGCGTTGGCTGGTGGCAGCTTCTACCCTCGGAGGCACTTTCCCAGGAGCGGGAGAAGCCAGCGCTCTACTGGCGCCCGCCCTCCCCTGGGCTCACCCGCGATGCCGTAGTGCTGCGCGGCGGCGCAGGCCAGGCGGCCGGGCAGGTACGGGGAGAACTCCGCGGCGTAGCCGTGACGGCCCGGCACCCGCAGCGTCCGCGCCGCGCTCATCCCTCCCGCCTTGCCGACCCGGCCGCGGAAGCAGTCCCCAGTCGGAGGTGCACAGAGGCGACTCCCTGACAGAAGTTACTGGTCCAGGAAGAGCAGGCGGAAGTGACAAGGCCGGAGCCCTGGATCCTAGATTCCGATTGGTCTGCAACAGAAAGGGCGTTGACTCCGGCGAACACCATTTTTGTTTTGGGTAAAACAAAAGTGATCTGCTCCAGCTGAGAGGATCTACAAGTAAGTAGGGAGTGATCTAGACTTAAATAGTATGATTTCAGACAATTGTTGTTGCATCTCAGCCTCCACTGAGAAGCTGTTTTTTTTTTTTTTTAATTAAGTCTTTGAACTTTAGACTGGCATCAGAAATTTTTCTGATGATTACAGAATGAGACAAGCTACAGCACTCTGAAACCATTTAGCGAGTTCAAAAGGCAATCTCCAGGGAAGTTGAGTCAATATTTAAGTCAAGCGCCAGGTAAAGCAAAGGGAAAAAGACGTTATCGTGAGCAACTATTTTTATACGTAGAGATGTATAGATATCTCTATATAGATATCCTTGGGCTATTCAAGAAAACCAGGGTTTATTAATTCATTCTTTCAACATTTGCAGAGCATGTAGTATGTAGAGGATGACCATATAATTTATCTGCCAAATCAAACACTTTTGAGAGTGACAGAGCATGTAGTTAATAATTCAGCTAGGCCAATAGGCACAAACCAAGTCATATTGAAACAAAAGCAAAGGTAAGGCAATTAGTATAGATAGATGATCTTTCTTGTCCAGAAGATGGAAGCTGATTCTAAAGGAATGGAATGTTAATACTTTCAGGACACATTCCCTCCCCTCAACCGTGGCCAAAAAGTCACCTATCTGAGGCGGGGAGGGGATTGTTCCTCCCAATAAGAGGCTATTAATGAATGCCTCCTGGGCGGCTCCATTCCTGCCTGGACCCCTGAGCAGCTTCATTCCCTCCTTTGCTCCACCTTTTGGGTCACTTATGCAGGATGGGGAGGGGGGCATGAAAACAAAGAAATTCTAAAATGCATAAAAGGGCAGAACACTCCCCACTTGCTCGGATACCCAGCTCTGGGACCCCTTCTCTGCAGAGAAGTCTGTATTTGTTCTATCTTTAAATAAAACTTGCTTTCTAGGCTTGCCTCAGGTGTTCAATCTTAACATCTAGGGAAATGGAACTAGGCATTGATTGACTTTCATCACCCAAGATTTCAATATTATCACCTTAACTAAAAGTGGTAAGATATGAGCTGGGCATGGTTACCTGTAATCCCGGCCACTTGGGAGGCTGAGGCAAGAGGATGGCAAGTTTCAGGTCAGTCTCAGCAATTTAGGGAGACACTGTCTTTAAAAAAAAAAAAAATTGAAAAGGGATGAGGATGTGGCTCACCGGCAAAGCAGCTTAATCCCCAGCATGCATCCCTCTCAGAAAAAGTGATAAGATGTGCTCCATGGCCTCAAGAACTTACAGTTAATACTATAGAAAACTAAAATACCATAGGTGCTATGAGAAATGTATATGGCATTTTTAAAAAGAGAAGAGCCTAGGAGAAGCTTTGGGAAGAAAATGAGCTCCAGTTCAACATGTGGAGGAATGATTTCTTATAGGTTCTTATATATACCAGTCCAGAGCTCAAGCAGCAGTTCTTACCTGTACATAGATAACATGTAAGCAATGATTGCCCTTACTCAGGAAGAGAGTGGTATCAAAGAGGAAGAAGGACAAAGGACTGTGGGAGAAATACCAGTATGCAAGATGAGGCAGAAGAAGAGAAGCTAGAAATTGGGGAGAGATCCACAAGATGAGTCCAATCAATTCATTTATTAATCAGCTTAAGAATACAGTTCAAGTGGGGACGATTTTCACACTACCTGTTGATAAACGCTCAGATGGACAGGTTAGTGGGTAGTTTCTTCATAAGGCAAATGAATTAACAGAGTTCTTAAGAGTATGTAACACATACTCTTAAGGTGCCTAGTATGCCTGGTACATAGTAGATGTATAAAAAAATAGCAACCATTACTATGATAGCAGGCAAGAATTTGCTAGCATATTTGCTAGAAAAAACTCAAGTTTGTAAGAAATAGACACTTCCCATAAGCAGCCTGAGGTGATTGGTCTTGCCCCCAGAAAACCCCACAAAATCATGCAAATCAAGAGGCTCAAATCTTTGTGCTTACTTTTAAGAACAACCATAAAACAACCTGGGCCATCAAGGGTATGCATGTCTGGAAAGCCATCAAATATCTAAAATGTGTTACATGTGTAGCATTGCAGTGTTACAATGGTGGAATTTGTAGGTGTGCTCAGGTCAAAACAGTAGGGCAGGGCATAAGATTGGTGACCCTAAAGAGTGCTGAATTTTGCTACACATATTTTAGTAAGTTTTTTCACTGCTGTGACTAAAAGACCTCACCAAAGCAATTATAGAGGAGAGAAAGTTTATTTAGGGACTCAAGGACAGAGGTCTCCTTCCATGGATAGTCAGCTCCACTCCTGGGGCTTGAGGTGAGGCAGAATATCATGGCAAAAGAGTGTGGCAGAGGGAAACAGCTCACATGATGTTCAGAAAACAAAACTCCAGTTGCCAGATACAAAATATATACTCCAAAGGCACATCCCAATGGCCCACCTCCTCCAGCCACACCCTGCCCACCTTCAGCCACCACTCAGTTAATCTTATCAAAGGATTAATTCACTGATTGGATTAAGGCTCTCGTAATCTGGTCATTTTTCCTCTACATTTTCTTGCATTGTCTCACACATGAGCTTTTGAGGGACATCTAATATCTAAACCATAACAGCATGCTTAAAATGCAGAGAGTAACACTGAATTTAACAGTTTAGATGTAGATTCTCTGGTCATTGAACACATTCAGGTGAACAAAGCACCTAAAATGTGCCATAGCCCTTAACAGAGCTCATGATTGGATTGACCTATACATGAGTTCCCCTGCCACATTGAGATGACCTTCATTTACAAGGAATAAATTGTTCCTCAACAAAAAGGATGGTGCACAGAAGGAAAAATATCCCAGAAGGAACTGAAGAAACAAAAACTTAAAGCACAGGAATGAATTCAGCAAAAAAAAAAAAAAAAAATGAATGCAAATTAAAAATTTTTGAAAAGTAGGAAAAGAAATTGAGCCTTTCTTTATTTTCTTCAAGAAAATTAAACGTTCACCTTCCCAGGCCATTCTGGGCATGCGTATGTATGTGTGGTGTTGAAGTTGTTTTGTTTTGGGTTTTTTGTTTGGTTTTTGCTTGCTTAACAAACAGAAAACAAAGTGGGGGTTGAAACCCACTGCCAAGCTATGTGAAAATGGAATGCCCTTGTGTATGGGGCTTTCTGGCACTTACAAGCACCACGTTGGAATCTGACACTAGAATATAAAGTCCACCAAGGCAGGATCAGAGTTTTGTTTACTCTCCAGTGCCTAAAACAGTGCCTGTCGAAGGGTGAAAGTCTAACCTTCAGATAGCTCCCTGTGTGGGACTCAATGGGCCTGTGATGTGCATGCAGTTCTATGCCATGCTTGGACACAGGCAGAGTCAAAGCTTCATTGAGAAGTTGGGTTCCCACATATTTAAGGGCCTCATAAAACCATTTCTGCCAGCAAGCAGGACTACATCGCTGTCACTTCTCCATGCAGAACTGTCCCCTCTCAGCCTCTTCTTTGCTGCCTTCACAAGGGTATCTCCTGCCTCCCTCCCCAAGGACACATCGAAACCCTGTTTAGTGAGTTTAGGTTTTTCACTAAAGGTTTTGAGCAGCTTCTGTTTTTGTCCTTCAAGTCCCCAGAGGCCAGGGAATCACAAAGGGTCTAGCTATCTAATTGGAATGGAGAAAGGGGAAAAAACTACAGCAAAATACAAATTGACATGTAAATAAAGTGTCCTGCCATGCTATTAATAAACAATAATAAATGACATCAATAAATCATTAATTCATAACAACTGACAGTAATAATATAGACATGAAGAGGCAGATGGACTGGTACATATGCCACCTCACCCACCCAAACCTCAGGAGCTCCAAATTCTTACCCTCCCCTGTGAACCTGAGATGGGACATGTGTCTCACCACCCAAGAAATTCCTCATGTTTCAGATTCCCTACCTCAGAATCTTGTTGGGTGACTTTTATAATACACATTCTTAGGGCACACCATAGGCCTATTCATTCAAAATCCCAAGGGGTGGGATTGGAATTCTGCATTTTAACAAGCTCCATTGGGTGATTCTCATGGTGGCCAAAGCAGAGATATAAAAACAGATAGGGGAGAAGTACTCAGCCCTGGCAGGGACTTGGGCAATGGAAGCACACACTGGTAGTGCAGGACAAGATGCTCCAGGCAAAGGAACTAGGGTTTTTGTTTGTTTGTTTTGTTGTTGTTTGTAGGACCTAAATTTGTCTGGGGGGGAACAAAATCCAGGTTCTCACACATGCTAAGCAAGCACTTTATCACTGAGCTACATCTCTGGCCCCAAGTTAGGATTCTTACTTAATAAGTTCAAAGAGGGGTATCATTTGTGCAAATGTTTTTTTCTACTGTAATTGAAGGCCTAAGAATTGCATGGCACTTGCTGGGCACAATGGTGCATGCCTGTAATCCCAGCTGCTTGAGAGGCTGAGGTAGGAGGATCCCAAGTCCAGTGCCAGCCTGGGCAACTTAATGAGACCCTGTCTCAAAATGATAAGGGCTAGAGGTGTAGCTCAGCAGTACAGTGCTTGCCTAGCATGGTCGAGGTCCTGGGTTCAGTCCATAGTACAAAAAAAAAAAAGAACAAGAAGAGAAAGAGACCACCGCAACCAAATTACTCATGGCAGCAGCATGATTACGAGTACAGGCTTCAGAGCCAGGAGGCTCATGTTCAATTCTTGCCATCAACTTTGTAAATTAAGAGCAAGAATTGCTTCTTAGCTATTAGCCTATAAATATACAGAATATAATATTTCATCTATCCTAGGAGTTTATATTCAAAGGAAACGTTTTGTTTGTCTAGGACCTATGCATTGGATGTCACTTCACTTCCATCCCCTATGTGCTCTTTT